CATACTTTACACTAAACCATAAAAATGGGAGACGCCGCAAAACTAAAAGAAACTATCATTCATAGACAAATTGAAACAAAACTAAAAGAAACTGTCATCTGTACCGACAATTAGTGTTGAAGTCTCAAGGAGCAATTGTGAAAATGTAACAGATTAAACAAAACTAAAAGAAAAACTTGATGTTTAGTAAGATTGAGGAATGGTGCTCCCTTGAGAATCGGCTTAATGTCATAGCTTTAAATCACCGGGTTTCATGATAAGTACCAAGTTCAACTTGGATTAAAACTCGACAATAATCAGAAAATTTTACAAGTAAACACAAGAATGTGATTATTTGAATCATAAAATGAAGCAAAGAGAGACGATAGATGGAATATAAGTCAGTTTGAGTGTTCTACATGCTAATGACATTAGTTATGAGTTTTCAGTTCATCTAGATGTCGAGGTTCCTCTTCTTTTAGTCTATTTTCCTGGAATCATTTCAATGATGTGAATGCATTACAATTACCAAGTATATGTGTGGGGAAGTGGTTATGAATCCTCAAATGCATCAAGGTTGAGTGGTATGCTACATGCTAATAACAACAACCAAGAGTATACAGCTTGATTCTTGTGGTCTATTATCCTGAGTTGTTTCAATAAAGGGTCCATCACTAGCCAAATATGCATTAGAGCCTCAAAATCTTGTAAATAGGTAACCAAGACAAGATGTGCCAATTGTGATAGGAGTTTAGAGCTTGATTGAATGCTAGTTCCTCTTCTTGTGGTCTGAAAACATAATTCTTTCCTTTTATGAAACACTCTCTAAGCTGACTAAAGTGGAAAAGAAGGAAGGAAATATATGCAATCTCTTGCATCATATCCTACAATGTTTATGATCAAAGAGAAAATAAGTGAGACAAATACATGTCAACAAACCATTAACCCTTACCCTTTTCTTGCCATTAAATATGGAAATATGAACCACCATCCACGATAATTCAGACAAATACATGTCAATAACATAAATCACCATAAAATATGAGATATGATCATAGAATAGCCCAGAAACTTTAAAACAAATATAATTTTGCCTCCACTGCAACCCCTGGCCCCCTTTCTTGCAATCAAATATGGAATTTTAAATATTTTTCAAGAACAAATTGGAATTTTTTTCCAATTGTTTAACCATTGTTGTAGATAAAATTCAATATGCAAAATAGTACAAGCAGAGATGTATCAACCTTATTACCTCATTTTGGAGAGACCAGGTTTACTGTCAAGTGTCAACTATCATCTGTCTTGCTGTCGATATCCCAAACAACAAGAAATTAGCGAATAACCTGACAAACCATATTATAAAGAATAAATGTATGAAGTGGATGTTGATTGTACGCGCCACCGTAAACCTGAGAAAGATGAATAGAAAACGTATTCAAACCCTAACTTCGCCAAGAACCAATCCAGCGAACTCCGTCTCCAAGAACCTCCATCATTGTTTCCTCCCTACACTAACAAAAGCCACGAGACCACCACCGTCGAAGCACCCAACCGCCCCTTTCTCGTCCCTGTACATAAACTCACCTCTGGTTTCTCTTTTTAAGGTTTTCTCGTATTTGGCTCTCGTTTTTCTTTTGAGTTTCGTTTAATTCATGGGGATTGGTTTGGTTTTTTGATTTTGGGTTTCATTTTGGTTTTACGATTTTTGGGGATTGGTTTGGTTTTTCAATTCTGGGTTTGGTTTTACATTTTTGGGATGAAGAAGTGATGATGGACATGGAACTTAATAATCATATTTCCATGGAGTTTCATTCATAGAAACAAGAAGATGCAGTCGAGACTCGAGAGTCGAGAGAGAGAATTGGTGCGTAAATTGTGGTGGGGGAAATTAAGCAAAAATAGAGGCCGTATATCCAATGAGGAAAACCGGCCAACGGAGCTTCATTTGCTTATTAGTATTGCAATATTGGGTGTAAGACAATGTATATTTTCATCTATTCGTATAATGTAACGAAATAAATTTTTATTTTAATGTTTAATTTTTATTATTTGTTTTTAACGATGTAATATAATTTTGTGTAATTTTAAAAAAAGATAATGTTTTTATTTTTTAAATAAGA